CTGGCCTAGTTGCCTTGGTGGTGCAGTTTCGTCTCTCCACCCCCTCCACAACGGTCGGGGGCGCACTGGCGCGCGGGCAAGGGGAGCAATCCTCTTGCCCCTAACCCTGGCGAAAGAAAGAAAGAGGGAGGTTAGTCAACGGTTAGTCCCTTCAAAAAGCCCCATAACACGTGGGGGGCCCATGTGACCGAGGGACCTTAACAGTCCCTCATGCCCGGTGGAAGAAGGGAGGACATCCAGGACGCATGCGCGCGCGGGGGACGGGGGGAACTCCGTTCTCTTGGCTGTGTGGAAGAGAACATCCCCCTATGCATGGGGGCTCTACCTGCTAGTGGACAACCTGCAAGCCCCGAGTGGTAGCCAGAGGGGCGCAGGGATGAGGCCGGGATGTTAAGAGGTTATAGTGTTCGGGGAAGCGGGGCTTACAGCCTACAACTTGGAGCCTGCCAAGTTTTTTTTGCCGCAGTCAGCGGGGACCACAGAGTGTGGACGGGCGGGCCAATGGCCTGAGGGTCGGGGCGCCGACCCCTGAGCCCTGCAGAAAGAAAGACAGAGGGAACGAAGGCTTGATTCTGCATGTTCTCCAGACGGTCTAGTGCCAAAGTACCTCTGAGCACTCGAGCAGTCTTCAAAAGCCACCAGCATTTGCAACAGAACCTTCCGCTCGCCATTGAGCCACACCAGCGGAGGTGGCATTGTCTGGGCTCGGCAGCGCACCTCGGAAGCCTGCAGTCACTGCAGTCTCCGCTTAGAACCTGACTTTGCGGGTTTAAAGTGAAGTTAGCCCAGACTCCACAAATTCGATGCCTCAAGATTTGTGCCGCCATCCTTTGCGACCTAGAAGCGAGCAAGTGCCTGATTGCAGCGGGCTCGCCTGCGGCTGCCGCTGAACCGGGGGCCTCGAGTTGGAAGTGGCATTTGTGCCCGTCCAGGTGAGCGAAGGCAGTGGGCAAGCAAGTTTGAACTCCTGGAGCGGCGCTACTCCCACACGGTGCCTGTTGGCATGTTGTGTTTCTGTCATGTGTTGTTTCAGATCTTCTTGTATTCCATGGGTCAAACTGGTGATCGTCAAGCGCCTGGAGCAATTCCTACTCCCTGACCAGCCCATGTAGTGAGAAAAAGCTTTAGGCAGCCTGGAGCGGGAAGCCAGACTTGTGAAAAGCTAGTTGCCCGTGCCAGATGTCAATGTTGGTCCAAATCCGAGGAGCATTGCTCCAGCTGCTTGAATGCCCTCCATGCGGCGGAGACGCTGGGGAAGCTGGCTGAAGTGACAGTGCCTTTGCCTCGTTGCTTAGGTTGGCGATGGACGTCACATGAGCCCCTAATATGGATCACACCATGTGTATTGGATGCTTCAAGTTGACAGATGGTTGTGTGGAGCATGGGAGGTGCTTTTGGGCGTATTGAGCATCTCTTTGTTTCCAAACTTTGCGGGGCCCTTGGCGGCGCTGACGTTGCTGAGCTACATGATGAAGCAGGAGTGGGTGCTTGGGGGAGGAGACAGGGGGGGCTAGGAGAGGCACTGGATTGCTCTTTGCCAGGCTTGCAGCGGCCTGCAGCAGCAGCTCACGGTGGGAGAGTATCCGCCTCCCAGAAACCAGCAGTGAATGCCGGCATCACTGCCACCTCGGCTTGTTAAGGCACGTGACGGGAATTTAGAAGAAAGCTGTGTTTCCGACTGTACAACGTTCCGACGTGATCCCAAAGCTTGGATCACTTCGCTTACTCGCGGAAAAAGGAGCTTGCGGCCAATCAGATTCGGCATAGTGGCATGGAGGACGAAACTGGAAGCGGTTCGCATGCGTGTTCAGCTGAAAACTGTGGGCTTGCTTCCGGGGCTGGGGAGGAGCATGCAGTCAGTAACGTGACATCCGAAAGTTCACTGTTCAGCCGTTCCGGCTCCTTGTTCCGTGATTCCATGAGCTGACAGGAACCAGAAACCTTTCAGACATACTAATTTCTCCTCATTCAAGCTGTCAGCGCCTGCAGGTATCGTCCTCATGAGCAGAGACAGGGGGGTTGCAAGCATAAGGGCACTGAACGGCCGTGTCGGCTTCTTGGGTGCTTAAGCGGTTCCCAGTTTTTAACGGGTAAGGGTAGACGGCACAAAACCACGGACTAGCGCTTGTCTAAGACGCATCACTTCCCCCCGACCCCGGGCAATGGACAAAAAGGAGAAGAAAGGAGGCAAAGACAAAGGCGACAAAAAATCAAAAAAAGAGAAGAAGGATGGCAAGGACAAGGACAAGAAGTCCAAAAAGGAGAAGAAGAGGAGAGACAATGATGATCTATCCGATGAGTTCGAGGACCCCGCAGCGAAGCTGCCAGTGGAAGAAACGCAGGCATGGCTTGGATCAGCTCATGGATATTGCGATTGATTCTTGCTGTGCAGGCCAGCAAGACGAAAGATAAGGACATGGAGGACTCGCACTTCATCCGGAGTCCAGTCGCCCTCGAGTTGCATCAAGCGCTGTGACAAGCCCTTGCCCGTGATTGACAGGCAGAGCTGTTCGGAAACCTGGAGGACGAGGAGGCTTGGAAGGGCGAGAGATTGCCAGCCTGTGTCACGCAGTCACGCAGCCCAACACCCCAAGCCATAGACATGTGGGCAGAGACTTGCAGGGGCCAGACTTGGAATGACCGCCGTCTGAAAGTTGACTGGAGATGTCTCTGTGCGAGGAGAATAAGACCGCCCCTTTGCCGGTGAAGCACGCCCCGCAAGATGATACAGAGGCTTTGGCCAAGGGAGCAGCGAGCCTCCTGGATGTCGCTTAGGACTTAGGACTTGTAGACCACCACGTGTCACGCCCCAGCTAACCTGTCATGAGCTGTAGCCGTGCCGCCGATTTCGGATTAAGTGGAGGGCATTGCAGGGCAAGGGTCGGGCTGGTGCTGCAGGCCCTCATGGAGCAAGTGGAGGAGCAAGTCGAACGAAACAAGCAGAAAGACTCCGGCAAAAAAGCGAAGAAGGAGAAGAAGCTGAAAAAAGATAAAAAGGACAAACATAAGAAGGACAAGAGCGCAAAAAAGGACAAGAAGCGGCAAGAAGCTGCTTTCATTGACGTGCCCTCCAACGTGGTGGAGCACCCTGCGCCGGAGATGCAGATCCCCTCAGCGGTCGACAAGGCACCTCCTGAAGTGCCCACCACCAGTAGGCAATACACGTTGATACCCAGAAGGTCCCCGCATAAACGTCATCATGTTGACAGTGCTGTGATAACGTTTGACTACAACTTATCCTGGTAGCGGTGCCGACGCAACAGGATCTCGAAGGCGAAGATGACGATATCTTCGAGAAGTTCGACCTTGCGGAAAATCTTCAATTTGACGACAGCGAGCACTTTTCGGACAGGGTCATACCGTGGCAAGTGAAGCTTTGTTCACCTGCCTGCCTTTCTACTCGCTTTTATTTACTTAGTTGTCTTTTTCTTCCAAGGTTGACCAGGCTCTTCCCATTTAGAAGTACTGTTTTTGCAGTCGTTCTGCGAAGATTGTCAAAGTCATGACGGTTGCAGCGGCAGGACGATTTAGCTTCATTGGCCTATGTCTGCAGTCATTTTGGTAACTCTGGGATTCCGAATCGTGGTTTCATGTTCTTGTTGCGCAATAGTCTCGCCTTGGAGATAACTGGTAGAGCCTGGTAGAGCTTGTCGTCCCCGGTCCTGATCAGAGCATATACGACAGGAAGATCTCACACCTGCCACACTGCAGCTGGACGGTGTTCAACAGATCGACCCAGCCACCTACAGCACGTGTTCAAAGCTTTTATTTGCACGATGTGCCGGCTTAAACTGCGCGTAAACAACCTAGTTGGCAGGACAGGGCGCCGAGCAGCGTCCACTTGAACGTTAATTCCTCCGGTGGTTTGGCATCTGGTGGCTCACCGGGTCGCTCACCGGGTCGCTCACCGGGTCGCTCACGGCCGCTTAGCTTGAAGAAGGATTTTTGAATACCCACCGTGCCGTAGCTCTGCCGGAAACATCTGTCGAGAAGGACGACACTTGACACCAAAAGCGAGGCGCGCCCGGTCCGCCAGCCCCTCGCCCGGCAGTGTGGGCAAGCGCCGCCGGAGGCAAAGGCATAAGTGTCATCCCGCTAAGGGAGTAAGTGCTTCGGTGAATCTCCTGGAGCCGCAAGGGCCGTCCGAAGTCCGTGGCTGAGGGATGCAGGCTAGAAATTACCAAGCATTTTCTCGGGAGCTTGAGAGTTATGAAATCAGTGGCATTGGCCGGAATGTGCAGGAAATGTAGGTTTTGCTTTGCTGATCCGATATGATTTCAAGACGAAAGACGAGTACAAAGGAGTGCAACATGAAGCTGATAACAGGGCCATAAGTTTTCGTTGAATGCTTCGTGAGGAATAAGCAGCTGGGCTGGACATTCGGAAACTTTGAAGTTGAGCTGAGGGCCATTATGGAGTGACCCTTACAGGTTTTGAGTCCTTCGGATGTGGTTCCCTGCCAGCCTACCAAAGAGCAATGCTTGTGAACCTACGGGGCAGAGCATGTTCGATAAAAAACGCATGAACTGTACAAGGAACAGGTTACACGGTTTTGGTGCAGAGGCGTTTAACCTGGTGGCTGTGACAGCCGTTCTGCATGAAGGCCGTAGGTAGCGTCGAGGGAGGATATTTAGTCTTACAGGCCTCAGCACGCGCATACTCAGCATCTTGCTGTCAAGCTGCAGACCGTTGTGATATTGCCCTGCAGATCCACCACTCTTCCAGCGCCTGATCAGGCCGGCCCGCAGGTTGAGATTTTGAACTTCCGGTCTCGTGCTACTTAGACTCATCCCGACAACCAGCTGTCCAGGCACATGTGAGTAGAGATGCTTGTGCTGTGTATGGAGTCAGGGTAGTATATGAATGCAGTTCCTCCCCTCCCCCCTCCCCTCCCTCCCTCCCCCATCCCCTCCCTCCCTCCCTCCCTCCCTCCCTGCCTGCCTGCCTGCCTCCCTCCCTCAGTAGTAATGTAGTAACCCAAGATAATATGATACGCAGTAGAACTTCAGCCATGCAGGAGGCAAAACATACAGACCTGCTGTTGTCTAAGATTGCTCTGGTCTTCGTAGCAGAAGTCAGGGGCACACACGTGGCCAGCCGACTCGATGCACATTCCTTGATGCCTGAATCCACAGACTGGCAGATTACAGAGAAAGATATGGATGTAACCAGTGGATAGGACAGCATCTCACGAGCAAGCCTTGCAGGGCAGGTTGGTTGCGGAGGAGTGAATTTGGACTGCAGTCGACCGTTGAATCCTGTCTCCCTTTCAAAACCTCCCCAACAGCTAGAGAACCTTTTCGGAAAAGACCGGTGAAATGATCCCAGGCTCCGTGGAACCTAATTTGGATTAGGGGGTTTCAGGAGCAGAGCAGCAGCAAGAGCAGGATCTCCCCAAAGTGACAGTAGAGACACACATCCCCGTTCCTTTCTGTTTACTAAACACACTTCTCGAGTTTCCAACGAGGAGTAGCCCCCCACCGTTTGATGTTGGGGGGCAGGGATGATCGGTCACGTGTTCCAGCGTTCTTCGGGCGAAAGGGAATCGCAGGCCACGACGGCCACGTCTATGCCCTGTCGATCCTGTCTTCCAGGCATACTAAAGAACGAAATAACATACTAAAGAACGAAATAACAACAACGGGGGGGGGGGGGGCTGGTCACATCCAAACCCTCAGCCGCCCCAGACACTGTCTTGAGACATCAGGAAGCAGAGCCCGAGCCCCTCGCCAAGAAGTGGGCGCAAGTGATGGAGTCCATCAAGCCACGGCGAGGCCCCGTGTGGATGTACTTTACTCCCGGATCTCTCGTCCTTTCACCCCCTTTCGCCGCAGCAAAGTAGAAAACAACAGCTCGCAGCCAGGTCTCGTCATCAAAGACGAGGAGGCCCACGTGCCCCTCGGTGAAGGAATCTGTTGTCGAATCGAACCTGGGCCTGGGCCATACATACATACATACATACATACATACATACATACATACAGACATCTACACATAATTATAAGTATAACTGTAATAGTAAATAGATACATCCATAAATAGATAAGTATATATATATATATATATATAGATATTGTGTTGACCATTGTTCACCGGCTTGTTAAGTCGTGTGCTGAGTAGCTGCCAGGTTTGTCGAGGGCTTCGTCAAAAAGATGGAAGCCATTGCCGCGGAAGACTTGGAGGATTTCCAGCAGGGAAAGCCCATGTTGAAGAAGTTGCAGATGCTTCCAGAGGCAAGAGAGGTGATGGAGAAATTCCAGTTTTCCGATGCCTTCATTGCGTATGGTGGGTGCAAGGTCCTTGCAGTCTGGCTGCAGAATCTACCTAGTGGGCAGCTGCCGTCGGTGCACATCCGCTCCGTGCTGCTGGAATGCATGGAGCGCCTGCCCATCACCAAAGATGCCTTGCGCGAAGCCGGGGAACCCCGCCTGGGACAGGTCGTAGCCAAACTCCAGACCCATCCAGAGGAGACCCCGCGCAACCGAAAGCGTGCACGAGGCTTGGTGCAGAGATGGCTACGCCAGATAATGATCCCAGATGAAGCGGATACTTTGGAGGGCTTCCTGGCCGAAGGTGATAAGGTCGGGAGCATTCCGAGACCGCCGCCAGAGACCGAAGAGAGCTTGGCCCTGCAGGAGGAAGAGAGCGCCAAGCGCCTTCATCCTGCTGTGCCGGTCATTCAGGGCAAGGAATACGTGATCCAGCCGATTTCCACTGCACAGCCCATTGCTCGCGAGAAACCGGCCAAAGACACCTATCAGGGCAAGCTCGACGAAGTCTTAAAAGTCATGGCTAGGCCAAACAAGAGGTCTTGGAAGCCTTACTCCGTATCTATTGCTGGCAGACAGCTGAATGCCGAATGAGGTCTTCATCCATGCAGAAAAAAGGGATGCAATGCAGGGGGTGCTGGTGCTTGCTGCGTGTCCTTGTCGTGGAGGTTGGCGTAGCAGTTCTTGTATGATGTCGTCAACGTCACGATTCGTCACTTGCGTGCCTTCTTTAAGTCCATGTCATGTCCATGCTCTTGCATGTACTTCCGTCCAAGTTGCCCAGGATCGAACATCGGACTTGGCCGATGGCTCCGTTCTGGTTGTCTCAATGAGGTCGGAGTATAACTCGACAAGTCACAGTCAAAGCATGTAGGTTTCACTGGCCTTTTCCTTGCAAGGGACCTTCCGTCATCCGCCGCTGCACCGCCGGACGGTATTGAGAAGGCTAACAGCGGGAAGAGGAATGCACTTTTCTTGTTGCAAGCATGTCTTTATCAAATTCAACTGATAGGTCTTGGAACCTCTTCGAGTTGGGACATGTTGGGACACAAGTTGTGACTTCTTCCGTTTTGCCATCTCCGCGGATCCAGCGACCCTTTGAATGACTGTGTGAGAGGCCGCAGACTCCGCCACGAGCCAGGCGAAAGCGCTTTACATGTGCGCACATGCACGCACTCGCCGGTGCCGGGCATTCTCGGTTCTGCACCTCGTGGAAGCCTCTGGGGACCCTTGCCGCATCTTACCGCTTTTGTGCGAGGCCGACGCCTCACCGGCATCTGGAGGCGCAGAGGAGCACCGAATAAAAGCCAAACCAAGAGCATCTTAGACCTGACCTTGCGATTTGGTGCTTCCGGTGATTTTTCGAGTGCGTCCGGGCAGGAAACGGCGGGCCTGTCGAGCCTGGAAGGTGTGCGAGCAGCGTTCCTCGGTTTGTCATGGCCATTCGTTTGAGTCGTATGAGGGCCTCTTCTTGAGGTTGCAGGAGGCACGATCAAGTCAGTCTGCAGGCGGCTGCGGGGTTCCAACCGTTTTTGTAAATACGGCCGCGACGCAGACCGGCTGCTGAATACTGACTATGACTATGAGATGCCAAGGTATGCCAAGCGTGCTGTGCAAGGCTGGGCGCCGCTCACCGACGCAGAGAAAGCCACTCTTAGCCCCTGGCTTGGACCGGACCGCAGAGAAGAATTGCTGTGCTGCTTCATCCGCCCTCAGTGCTGCATAGTACTTGTATCAGTAGATGCAACAGCAATTTTGTAATTTCCTTGGGCCTGAGTGTTGTAGAGCATAGTGGCGTAGCTGACGCTATCTAGGTCTGCGTCTCCAACGAGCGGCGCAAGAGTACGAGGGCAAGGACGACCTCTTGTGCTGCTGCTAATTCCTGAAACTCGTCGCTTTTGCAGGATTCAGAGATCAGACGGTCCCGGGAAGCGTTGCCTGTCGCGGAGGCAAGGCTAGGCTTCATTTTGGGTTCTTCCCGGCTCTCACAGGCTCTCGCGCAATCGAGGAGAAAGCAAGCAAAAACGTGAAGCGTTGAGTGATTCTATGATCGACGATCTAGCCGCCACTGATTGAGCCAGAATCGCAAAGGCTCGGGCAGCCTTCCTCGAAGCGCTGCAGGATCACCAGGTGGTGGGACGCCTGGCAAAGCGCCGAAGACTTCCCAAAGTCTTCTCTGCCAACTAAATGCCACACTCCCGTGCTCGACAAAAGTGTCACAACATGGAAGATGCGACAAAACAGCAAGTCTGCACAGCCTCGTTGCTCGAAGATCAGAAAGCCTTGCAGACTGTGCACCCAGGTCATTGTCGCCGGTGAAACCGGGTCCGGGAAGACAACGCAGTGCCCAAACTTCATTCTCGAGGCCGCGCTGCTCCTCCGAAGACACGGGCTTTCGGCTTTGACGATAAAAGTGCGAGGCATGCATCGCTTGGCTCTCACTCTAGCAGCTGGCAGGTTGTTCGGCCCGTTATTCCCCAAGCAGTGTGGTACTCCCGTATGGGGTCTTTCTTACGCAAAGCGAAGTAGCCGCGAGGCGCAAGCACAGGCGACATGCACCCGGAATGTTCCATGCTCCCGTCCCGTTGTGGCTCATGGGACTTACACACGATCGGTGTGGTCGCGTGCTCCGGAAAGCTTCGTTGCACATTCCAATGCGTTGATTTTGGCATCGGAGTGTGGGACGCATGTTGGTCCTGTCTGTAATGCCGCCAGCGCATGGTGGAAGCATGTTGCTCACGCCTGTGAATCCCGTCAGTACCTGGGAGAAGTATTTTGGCAGTGGTCTAGCATTTTCCGGTGGTTTCCTGCTGATCTGTTAGAGTCTGGTGGTATCAGCGTGGTCTCCTGGAAGATCATGGTGGTCGTGCTAGTGATGCTGGTGCTGCTGCTATGTACTCGTACTGTTTGGGATTGTTTGGGTATTAAAAGAACTCCAAATCCAGAAGCAGTTTGACCAACAACCAATCACAACACTACAAGCATTGTGGTGCGTCGAAACTTGAAATCTGAGTGAGTTGCGATCAATGTTGTTTTAGTTTGGTCGTATTGCTGCATGGTAAAAGACCAAAGACATGATAGGTATGTTTGTGTGCTCTTCGTCAGAAGAAATGCAGCAGGTGCGAGAGTAGCTCGTACATGCGAGCAGAAGTAGCACCAATGATTTTCGAGTGGATACCATGATACTCGCCGTCGTGGTCCACCATGGACTTTTGCTGAACCTTGTTCTCGAAACAGGGGCAAACCATGCTGCTCGATGCTCGCATTGGGAAAGTACCAGCAAAGCACTGCGAGGCAGCGCTAACAAACGACTGTTTGAATGGCTTGCTCGAGGCACAATCACGAGTCCCAGTGAAGTCGCTGTATGAGTGGGTGAGAAGACGCGGCGCCGTGCGCAGAAGCGCTGGCAGAAAGCGTTGGGACACTTGGCAGATCGGGCCTCTGCCACAAAAACCACGGCGAGTGACTGTTCTGGGGCCGCACGTGCATTAAAGTATGGAAGGTTGTGCAAGATGCTTAAGTCGGCGCGTGGATGTACCGATTGACCTGTGGCTATTGATTTGCGGTACTGGGGTACACCGTTTCGTGAGATCAGCGTGGCAGCAGAGCAGTCCACTTGCGAACAGGCTGCGGCCGCATCTGGAAAAGGAGGCGAGATCTCAATTGTCTGCACACAGCCGCTGGGACTTTGACTCACCGTAGTATCAGAGTCGCGGAAGGTAATGCAGCTCATTCTTATGGCATAGACGGACCTATGAGTCCGCCAGCAACAACCACGAATGCCATGGTGGGACTTAAATACTCCCATCCCCGATTGTTTTAGAGTGATGTTGAGCAAATCTTACCTGCACAACCTGTGCACTTGAGTTGAACCTAACCAAGCCCCGAATGATCCAGACCTCCTCTTGTACTTTCTAGACTACTTTACGACTCCACTCTGAACAAAAGCCTTGTATCCCACAGCCGCTCAAACCAAAATAATGATAGTGAGTATTGCCCATTATTCCCTGTCTACGACGACGCAAGCCCTCTCAAACCAAGGTAATGATGCTAAGTATTGCCGAGTATTCCCTCTCTACGACGACACAACACCGTTCAAACCAAGATCATGATACTAAGTATTGCCTAGCATGCCTTGTCTACGACACCTGTTGAAACAACCATCGTCCTTCAGTCCTTCAGATATTAGCCCCGCAGCCGGCTTCCCGGATTGAACATTCTGCATTGCTCTGACATGAAAGAGACACAAAAAGTGGTCGTATCAGAGTCGAATCGTGCATCTTGCGGCCGCAGCTTGGCGGCTCACCCACCACAAGAAATGCGATCACTTGGGGAATCTGTGTTTGATCGGCTTGAGATATTTGCAATGACGCGGTTTACAAGCGCAAAGTGTGATCTGGCACAAATTGTTGACAAAGCTTTGCGCTGAGGCCCAGGCGAATAGCAGCTGTTGGCGTGGCTACACGCGTGGCTGAGGAACGAGGCACTGAGCATCCTGCACCCTAATTAGCCACTTCGTGGAGGCTTGACAGCAGGTACTAGAGGGTTTGGACGATGCTGCGGCCGTGATGTCTGCACATGGTTTGTCAAAAGCAGGCTCCGAAAAGACGACTCAGACGACTCACGAAAGCTCCTCGTAAGGAAGCTTCCTTCATGACTCCTATGACCGTGAGATACCGTGAGGCTAGAGGCTTTGGGGCAAATCAACAGACTCCTTGCATGCCTTGGTCCAAGCCCATCCCTCTCAAGTCTTCTGCGGACGAAGGCTACAAGTCGGATTGCTAGGTGTCGAACCATGAAGTGCGCTGATTGGGTCACTGAAGTGGGCTTCTGCTGAACGTTGCTGCTTTGTTGATTTCGATCGTGATCATGTCACGAAACTGTCGCAAGGGCAAGCAGAAGCCTGCGGGCCTGTCTGCCGCTTACGTAAGAATCTGCAAGAGTTGCCAGGCGAACCCGTCGGCGATGTGGTGGGCTTTGCGGTGCGCTTGAATGCTATGGCGACCCGGCCGATGGCCTCAGCTGCGATGGTCATTGTTCAGTTGAGATGTTCCTGTCGATGATTTGCGATATCGTACTCGTCAGTCCCATCGCTCATCCTAGCTGAAGACGCGGTCGCTGCACATCTGGAGCAGGTTGACCAGGCTCCTTTTCTGTACCTCCGGCGTGCTGCTGACCCGGCTAAATGCTTCGCCAGATCTCGATGGGCCGCTTGGTTTGCGCTAGGCCAGCTGGTGAAGCTGGTGCCCAGATGCAAGTCTAAGTTGACTCATGACTCAACACATTCTCGGAGATCGCGACTCTCCACGACACCCGAAAAAGAGGCATCGACACACTGTCACCAGATTCCCCATCACAAGTCGGTCTGAAACCTGCAACCAACAACTCTAATTTTCGTATCCTTCTCAATCGTAGGCTTTTGACCACACTGTTCGTGGGCATGGCTTGCGTGATTCGGCAATTTCTTCTGCTGCTGCAACTTCTGCTCCTACTGATACGACGACCAGGACTACGACGACCACGACTGCTACCGCTGGGTGACAAAACTCATTCCACAACTCCTCCCCCCTGCGACTACTGCCACCTTTCCTGCAACTGCTCCTGCTGGTGCTACTACGACTACCACCAAAACGGTGTTTGTAGGTAGATGAGGTGGCGCGCTGCATCAGTGCAGCCTAGACGGGCATGAACCCCTCCATAGGTTTTGCCTGGAATCTCTCCCTTTTAGGGGAAGTTGGCAACTATCCCAGACGAGCCAGGAAATTCCAAGCAACACGTTTTGTCTAATGAGACGGTTCACCCTGGCAAGAAGCAAGCCGGGAGCGGAGGGAAGTTTCAAACCAGTGGCTAGAGCTTCCATAAAACTTGACAAGCGCAGCGTTGGCATGATCTTTTTCGGCACTACGGTACATTGAATTAGTGTTCCCCTGGCTCCGGTGACTCGATTCTGCATGCGAGGGTCACCCACATCATTCTGGACGAGGTCCACGAGAGGACTCAGTTCGGGATCTGCATCCGAGCTTTTGGGATGAGCTTGCCGTGCTTGCCGTGTTGAGCAAGTCTGGAGGAGCTTGCATACAGACTTCCTGCTCACAATCCTGCGGGAGCTCCTGCGTCGCAAGCCAGACTTGAAATTGGTTCTCATGCCAGGGCCCAAGGAATTGTTTGAACTGTTTTTCTTTGTTTCAGGTGCACGGCCCGCACCAAGGCAGGTGCTGTGATTCCCCATCCGAGGTCTGCCACTTTACAGCAAAAAATCTTCTTGGAATACTTCTCGTGTCCGGACCTCGTGGGCCTTAGAGTGGTCTGCAGCCGTAGCTGACTGCGGCGGGGAGTGGGGGGTTTGGAGTTTCGGACCTGACTGGCCCTCAGCACAAGCGCTTGCAGCTGAAAAGGGCCGGAATTGTTCTCTGTCGCGTTGCAAGTGATCTGGACCCTTAAGTGCGAGTGTTTTAGGTCAGTTTGCTGTCCGAAGGTGCGCTCTTAGCATCTCTAGGACTCTAAGTCAAAGGCTTTGTGACCAACCGCGGCTGTTGAGTCAGACTGCTGACGCACAGAAGTTTCTCGAGAGTGCAAGGTCCAACCGCAAAGAGGGGTTGCCGATTCGCGCGCGTGCCCCTGCTTTTTCTGAGGTTTCTTCTCCAGTGCAAGAGAAGTTCCTGTGATCAACGTCTCCGGTCGCAGCATGTCCTGAAATTACAGTCGAGAGGATACTTGGGTTCTCAGAGTTCAAAAGTTGGAAGCTGATCACACGGGCTCTTCATGAAGACCATGCTGGAGTTGCAGCACTAAGAGGATGCCACCTTTAGCCAAGGTACGCATCCGGTGACTGTGCGGTACGAAGGGCAGGCGCAGGTGCGAGGAGATGCCATCCTGTGTGCCAGCCAGTCTGGTCTCTTTAAGGAGCAAGTGGCATAGCGGCATAGGCACAGCGCCTTGAGGCCGCGTCCCGTGGTGGCATGCTGGCGGCTGCCGAGGTTTCCGACGAGCCTGAAGCCCGAGAGGACGGGGATGAGGGATATCCACTTCAAGAAATCTTGGTCTAGACTTGGAGCGTCTATGCTGTCGCTCGCCCGAGTTGATGCGATACAGGAGGAGGAGTTTGACGCCCAGGCAGGGATGGAAACCAAGCGGTGATATAACATGCCATGTCTGGTGGGCCAGGCCCTCGCAAGGCTAAGGGTTTAAATCGCACGCATCGTAGCTGTTGGACTCAGGGACTCACGGGGGGAAGTTGCTCAGGTCGAGGGGAAGTCGTAGCTGTCAGTCTGACTGCTTTGACAGCCGTGCCAAGTGTCGGCAGTGCCTTGCCAGATACGCCGCCAGTATGGACGCGGGGCCAAGGCGATTCAAGTCGACATGGATTTTGCATGCAGTCCCTGCTCGTTCTCAGTGATGGATGCTGCAAGGGTCACACAAAACCAAAACCTACAGGACATTCCAGGATTGTAGGAGTGCCAATAGAAACTTAAAAGAGCAGAGTTTGGACCAGCTCGGAGCTCGGAGGAGATCCGCATCTCCCCTGTGGTTCGCAGCTGCCTCTCGGAAGAAAGAGCGACCTTGCGCATCTTTCGCTTTGTCCTCCCAGAAGCTGTGCTTCTATCGATTGTTGAAGACACTCGGAGTAACGACGCCCACCCGCTCAATCCCCCAGCGAAGCGGGTGGGAAAAAAAATCCACCGCTTGGGAGGTTAAGCAGGAGTCTTGACGCTTCAGCCCTGCGATCGTAGAGATTTTCAGCCGTGAGAACCGATCATCTTCTGGCCGCAGGCATGTCGGCATGTCGGCATGCATGTTGGTACTCGCAGGAGGGTTGTCTGTTCGAAATGTGTTTGCTTCGCTCTTTTGAGGTGCCGACTACCGCCAGATCGCACGCTTGTGTGCTGCCATTCTTGGAGGCGCGCTTGCTGCGGTTGGGCTTTTGGTCTGAGGCCACGCTACAGCACGGAGTTGATTCGCGCAGCAAAAATAGGCTGTTCTATGCTGTTCTTATCTTGCAGAGTTCCGAAGTGCAGAGTGTGTCACACGACTTCGAGAGCTTGACTTGTGTGAGGAAGTTAAGGTCGTGTAGAGCCCCGCATTTGCGGACAGTTTTGCATCAAGCACTCGTGGACGGAGTTTTTAGTTAGTTGTAAAGCCCCCGCCGCCGTCCCGCAGTGCTGCAGCCGGCCTCTCCAGAAGGTGTTGGTATGGCTGACGAAGGGAGCATCAACTCCGTTCCATGGGCCGAGTCTCCATTCCTGGACCTCAAGTTGGGCTTCATGCCCACACCACGGAAGCCGGAAGTGGATATTGAGCTGGACCCCGAAATCCCTCCTTGCGACGGAGACATCGCATTCGACCCCTCAGCATCTCCGCTGAGACAGTCCCGCTGGTGCAACACTGTGTGCAGGGAGAGCCCGAGAGAGAGAGAGAGATTATATATATATATATATATATATATACATATGTATATAACGGTATCTTTTCCGACATGCCTAGCTTCTTCGGGGACCCCGGAGAACAGAACAGAACATACATATATATATATATAGATTTATAGTAGAGTTGCTTTTTCTGTTTGTGCAGAAGCAACCGAGCCACGGCTGAGGGTTGCCTAAGATCGGGGTAAAGGCGGTAAGCCGTGTAATGTGTGGTCCTTGATTAACAACCCCCACCTCCCCCCCCCCTCCGCCAGTCAAAGGGCCACCCGAAATTACGACCCCATTTTAACTGTTTGAGCATCGGGGACCGGTTGCAGCCTTGCACTGTAGTCTTCCGAGCAGGCGAGCCCATGTATTAACCAACGGTGAACATTAGCCCTTTCAGTTAGTTCTACGTCGACTAGGGTGCTGAACGGCAGAAGAGGGCCCCTTCAATGCGAGGCCTCCTCCTTATGCCATGCCTGTCGCAAGCAACGAAGCAAGCAAGGCAGCAGCTTGAAGAATGAAAGCATACTGGAAGAGCGCGGGCAACAACAGAGAGTTAACCCATGACATCAGAAGCTGAGTATACAGAGATGCCGTTAATGTCCAGGCTGGCATCCAACAAGAGGAAGTTTTCCTGCAGCGCATGCTATCCCCCTCACATGCAGTTTGGAGTTAAACAGCGCTTGAAGAGGAGACGCCCCAAGTTGTAGCCATTTGCGCTTCAGGTGACTCATCGCCAGACAAGCATTGCCACCTGCACTCAAAGCCTTCGGACCAAGCCGAGCTCGAGGCGTCAACAGAGCAAGCTATGGCAGCAGGAGAAGCTGAAAGACTTTCTGCGCAAACACCGCTTCGCGGATGTATGTGAGCCGAGCACCTCATGGATGCACTGCTATGCCATGTTGGGTGGAGAGACCCTCTACCCAATCCACGTCGCTGCCCGCGAGGGCGATCCGGAGATTCTGCTGTTCGGCTGTTAAGACTTTCGGGGTAGTGCACTGCACTCGCGGGGCTGTTTTGCTCCAGCTCATGGCAGGGTTACCAGCCCGAAGGTTCAAATTGAAATTTCATCGCTGAGGCGCTTGCTCCTCCAAGCGCGCGCCGACCCGGAGCAGAAAACATCTTGTGGCCGGACGGCTGAAGCCGTGGCCAGAGACGCAGATGTCTTTGGCTCTCACAAGGAGGTGGTGGACATGTTGCGGGGGGGTCTCAAAGTCTTAGGGCTGCGTGAGGCCTTGTCTGTAATGATCGGTAACATTAGGTCAGCGCATCACGAGCTGGTAAAGCATGAAGACTCGGTCTCACATAAGACAAGGGCAAGGCCTCAGGGCGGAGCAATCCTGGCAGCGATCCGTAAGCGCGGAATGGCATGTCGCGGGCACGAAGGCTAAAGCCTTCTGTTCTGCATCATGCCCGCATCTTCTAGTGTTGGGTCCTCCGCAGTCGGGCATTAGCAATGTTCAAACTACTAATCGGGTATCGGCCTCATGTTTAATCGTGTTTCGTGTGACTTCGACGCCGGTCACATCACCGCCCGGAGCGTAGATGGGCCTATATAACTTTCGCACAGCCAGGGTGTCTTGCTTGGTGTATCCAGTATTGTCAGGAGTTTGGAGGATCTTCAGCATGTTTTTAGTAGTCCGTCCGTTTGAGGCTCAAGTAGACATGCTGGTTGCGGGGCTGGAGTGTATCCACGGGGCTTTGTTTCGGTGGTTGGTTGCCGGGCGGGCTGTTGCTGGAATACACCTATGTCTTCCACTGCAAGAACACCCAATTGATTCTCCACAGCACCGTGCTCTCTTCTTGCGGTCTTACTTCGTTGTCAGCTTTGATCCCACACCCACAGCACCTTTCCACATCGTTGAAACTTTGAAGTCTACTAACCACTGGATTTCGAGAAGAGCCTGCTGGTGTGTTTGCCATCGTTGTGCTCAGGGCCAAGTGCTGGAGGTACTTGTGCTGCTGAGCGGACGGTTACTGGAAGATTCGCATAAAGGAGCGTTAAGTTTTGAATGCAAGTTTCTCAACGCGGGACATTGCAAGAGATCGCCTTATGCGCTTCTCGTTTCGCAGGCGGTCCGCACAGAGTCGCCTCATGGCGCCATTGCAGTTGCTTGCTTGCCAGAACCTGCCCCGTCCCAGTGCTTGCTGTAGTAGAGACTGCAGTATCGCCCTGAAGTGGGCCGCCGACGGAATGATCTGTACAGTTGGCGTCAGTTGGAAAGGCAGCAACTAACCGGAGTCTTGTAGCAGGGATGGAAGGTTCCCTCCAAGAGGAGCTTGCGCATTTCTGCTTCCAGGCCTTTCCTAGCTGGCAGCTTTGTTTCAAGCTCTAAAGCGCAGCCTGAACGCGGCCCAAGGTGCTGAGTTTACGTTTCTTGTGGATGTTTTTGCCCTCTGCACGAGATCGGAACCCCGACTCCGAAATGTAGTTGAGGAAACTGCACAAGTGCATACAGAATTAGGCGTCTATTGTGAGCATTCGCACGAAGTGCCCAATCCAGTTGCTCCTGCTTGTCTTGCTTTTTGAGTTGGGATCCACACGGGTCTTCTGGACCTCTGAGAATTGGCTGTGCCGTACCTCTCGAGGCCGTCCTGGACCCTAGCCCTAGCTAAGCATTCACCAGGCAAGTGGCGGAAGCACGAGGATATATCGTGCAAAGACCGCACTCTGGTCAATAGGCTTACGTAACTCTGCAGAGGATTTCATGCAGCGTCGATCTGAGAACGAGGCAACGACTGCTGCCAGCTGGCAAATGACCTGGAGTTCGCGATCTCAGCTCATGCCGAAAACGAAATGTGGCCACACTTGTGCAGGAGTAGGTGACAGGTGCCGGCTGTCGCTTGGGTACATCAATATAAGGTCTAGGGCAGTCACGACAGTAGCTCGAGCGACTTCAAGCATAGACTGAACACCTCAAGACATAAGCGCTGAGCCTGCCATCAAGACACAGCCGAAAGCGCGTGTCAGGACGGCAAGGACTTCAGCGTCCTCAGCTGTTGGCGCAGTCCAGACGTTTGTTTTCGCCGCAGCCGCGCAGATCAAGGGGACCCGGCATGACCCGGCCCGACTCGCCGGACTCATGCATGGGGCCTTTGGGGACTTCGGGACTGGCATCCTTGGCCGGGCTTCCTGGGCCATCGAAGCCGTGCCTCAGCAAGGCACCAAGCACCGTGTGAAGTGCCCTCGTTGACTCTTAGACAGCCATGCAACGTCGTTGATCATGGAGAGGCAGCATGGGATTTTGTAGAGGTTTTCCTCTCTGACCTAAGGCGAGCGAGCTTGGATGACATGGCTTTGCCAGAGAAGCCGGAGTTATTCATCGCGGATATCGAGATCGCGTGGGATGACGGCGAAGACTGCCAGCAGCTCGAGGAAGCGAAGTCAGCGAAGTCTTTGACTCGGAGACAGAACAGCAGACGACACCTGGAACGGGAAAAGCAGCAGGAACTGCTGAAAGAGTTTCTGAAAGAGTTCCACTTCTCGAACGTGTCCGAACCCAACGTAACGTGCAGTAAGTGCAGCTGCTTGTCCTTGCTAACTGTCGAGGCTGTCTATCCCATTCATGAGGCTGCCAGATTGGGCGATGCGTCTCTGATACGTTTGCTTCTTTTGGCGAATGTCGACCCGGAGCAACGGACCTCCAAAGGTCGAAGTGCTGCTGACATCGCCAGAGCTGCAGACAAGTCCGGTTCCCACATAGAGGTCCTGGACATGCTGTTGAATGGCCTCAAAGTTCTGCATCTTCGTGAGGCGATGACCGTGATGATGCAAGCAGGTTGTCCAGCTGCGAAGTAGACAGATGCACTGACAGACAGACGGCATGGCACAGGCCGCCGCGTTTTTTAATTGGAGTTTAACGGTGCTTCCGCGCCCTGTGGCAGTATTGCATGCCGACGTTTCAACTTTCCCTTTCAATGCTTTTCAAGCATGCATTCGTGAGTTTTTGTCTGCAAATTGTGCTGGTGGAGGCCGGCACCAAGCCAGAATCTCTTCAACGGTGTTTGAAACCAAGGCCTTCACGACACCAGGTTGCTGATCACATTGTAAACACAAGCAAGGGCAGCGCACCTGTGGACTCGAAATCACCGCCGCTGTCATAGTGCAACCAGGGCTTTCCGAGGAGGTCAGTCACACTTTGAGGCACGGGCCGAGCTCTGCCAAGACCATGCCAGGCCTCCAGAGGCATCGCGTGCTTTGATGGAAGTGGAAGTGAATGGAAGTGAATAGAAGTTGAGACCGTTGTTGGGAGAGCTTGGTTTCCTTGTAGACAGGAGTGCCTGTTGATGCGGAGTTGGGCTTACTAGGACTGGAAGAGCAGTTCCACTGCTTCTGAATTGGTAGGAGAGCAGCTCCAGTGTTCGCACTTTGGGGGTTGTTATTTCGCACCGCAGTGAAGGACTCTAGAATCTAGAAGCACAAATTCAAAGCACAGCGGTTCGCAGTGCGGGCATCCGTTTCTTCAACAGCAGCACGGGAATGCTCAAACGTGTTGAGCCGCGCTGCTGGTATTTTCTCTCGAGATTTTTATCTGCCGGAAGTACAGGCTTTCGTGAAATCTGTGCTTTCGTTTCCAGCCACATTTGATGACTTGCCAATATGTGGAAAGCTTGCGGTAACATGGATCACCAGCTATTCTTCCTCTCGCCGACTTCTTTGGAACCACCACATAAAGATTTGTGCGCTCTGGTGCCACTTGGGTTTCCAGAAAACGCGAAGATCCTTTAACAAGTCCGTCCCTATCTATGATCAGCCGGTCATGGTCGTAATGACCTCTACAGATTCTTCAGTTCTTGGAAACATCCACGAGGCGGTGGTCGGACTGGCTGAAAACTCAATCCCCTACTTCAAGCAGCACAGCGCATGTCGGTAAACAGGCCGCGAGACTGGGGGCCGGGCACAGTAGCCGCATGGTCAAACACATAAACTTTGGCACAGGGTTCGGCATTGCAGCCCCTATATAACTAGCCGTATCAGGAAAATGGGATTTCATGGTAGATTGCCCGGATCACCCGATGAAGGGGGCCTCCGCTCATGCGCGCTCTGTTAGAGGGTAGCTCTCGAACCTTGACCGCCATTTCAAGCATGAGCACCGTCCAAAAACGAATACCATCCTTGAGACCCGTACGAACAAGCCCGCATGCGTAAGCATCCGGGCCGCTCGCGGGCTAGCTGAGCTAGCTGGCGATTTTCGTCCGGCAAGTGTCCGGGGAGTGGTCGGATCTGACGCGGAGTTTGCGATGGGCCAGATGTTGAAAAAAGCTCTTGAGCTGGAGCCGGCAGAAAGCAAGGATCTGTTGGGGCCGCTTTTGGTCTTGGGCATTGGCAGCTTCGAACGGCAATGAGTAGTTGAACAAAGTTTGTTCTTCCTGCTTCTCCGAAAGCTAGCGATCCTGGAAGTCGTTAAAAGGTTACAAGAGCTGAAAAGCTCAACTCCTCAAAGACGGGGCAGTCTGGGGATCTTAACAGAACGAGAGATGGCTTTCCAGAATGCCTGCACTGATTATGGAACAGGATGACGCATTCAATCGGACCACAAGTCAGAACGCAAGCTGATCCTGCACCAGGCAACTACGAACCAGATGGCGAAGATCCATGGCAAGGCATCGTCGGCCCATGTCTCCGAGTCGCGAGGTTTCGAACCCCAGGCAGCGTTGCAGCAAAGTTGAAAAGTAGCCTCGGGAGTTCGACAGATGCACTTTGGGTCCGTTTCCGCAGTGTCTCAGCATTTCGAAGCCACAGACCAGCTTTCAATTTGGCACTGAAAATGTGACGACCGCAGAGGCGCAGGGAGACAAGTTGCCGAAATAGGTGTGCGTGGCACCAGAAACCCTCATGTTGAGCTCAGCAACAAGCCACGGCCACAGCACAAATTCACGCAAGCTGGGGACATACATGTGCATGTGGCACAAAACTGAGGTTCCGACACCTGTTGATAGCAGAGTCGAGGTGTTTCAAGTGGCATTCAGCGGTTTCGTTCGCAGCAGGTCTAGACTGAGCGTTTGGGTCAAAAAATTGGCAGGTGGAGCCATTTTGGTTTTTCTCCCTGGCCGGGCGCCTGGTGTGAGATGTGCGCTTGAAACTCGAGGACTCCGTTACGACGCAAAGACGGAGCAAGTGTTCCAAAGAAAGAAGATGAAAGAAGCATCAACCAGCATGACTACCCTGTGCTCGAACTGTAACTCTTCGTTTGAGGCGGCGGTTTGGCCATGTAATTGCGCGTCATGGCATGACTGCGGCTGCCGGTGTCGAGCGCAGTGGATTGAACATCTGGTGCCTCAATTTTGCCGGGCCCATGGGCTGGCCACGGCGGCCATGGTCATCTGTGCCGAGAGCTTAGACCGTGTCATGCGCGAAGCTTGAGCCCTTGTCTTCGAGGTCCCCTGCAGTATAGCCTAGGAGCTTCAGACGCAAAGTCCTGTCCGCCTCAGCGTGTTCCGTATAGTCCCAAAGCTGGAGCCGACCACTCTTCTCTTCGCCACTTCGCCATGGCTGCC